GCAATAAAAATTACAAGCTTTGCATTCTATTTTGCATATTCTGATAATGTTGCATTATAACTTCATTTGGAACCAAATCAAATACTTCTTTCTCAATATATGGAACTAGGCAGTCGTTGAGCCAATCAACACCCATTTTACTGTGTAATCTATGTTTAACAATTTTCATTGCTGAAAAAGCTCTCTCCACTGTAGCGGTGGCAACGGGCAGAGTTAATGCTAAAACAATAAGCCGGTAAACTAAGGGGTACACGATATCTTTTTTAATCTTAACAAATTATTTTGCAAGATCAACAATGCTCTCCAAAGATGAGAATTCCTCACTTGTATGCATATCAAGAATGTATGTTGATAGCTGGTGCTCTAAAGCCACAAGTTCAACTACTGAAAAATCAGCTGAATATAGTTCTGCAAGTCGAATTAATTTCTCTTTATTATAAGCAGAGAATGAGTTACTTGGATTTAGACATGATATGCAAAGAAGCAATTCAGTACTAGCTTCAGATAATCTATTATTCAGCTCTTGAAGTTGCATATCAATAATAGTGTAAAAGAATTCCACTCGGTAATGATGTAAATTTGTTACGTCATCATTTCTTCGTGTTGATCGTCGACGAGTTTTGAATGTAGAACTCATAACAGGAACAACAACTTCAAAAACATTACAAAAACGAGATACTTCTTCCAATAAGAAATTCCATCCATTATCCCTCATAATCTGTAATTGTTGTTTAGAGATTTGCACTAACTTCATTGCATTCACTATATCCTGATCTTTTCTCTGCAAGGCCTGTGATAACTCATTGGTGACACCTAAAATATCAATCATTAAATGCAAAGCAAGAATAAAATCAAAAGATTCCATGGCATCTATAAGAACACCAGATTCAACGGCTTGTTGATCATGTACCCCATCTTCTTTGATAATTTCAAGAACTTCAATTACTGACGCATACATTTTCTTCAAGCTAATTAATGTATGAAAATGTGAACCCCAACGAGTGTCACCAGCTCGTTGTAAGCTTGTCTCTTGGTTCAATCCTCTACCACTGCTCAACTCCCCTTTAGACAAATGAAACAATATTTTATCATGTTGAATTGCTCTAAGAGCATCACTTCTCTTACATGAAGCTCCAACGGTATTGACAATTCTTGAAGTGATCTCAAAAAGATGTTTCGCATGCCAATGGTTTTTAGCTACAGCAACTAAGCACAGTTGAAGCTGATGAGCAAAACAGTGAACATAGAATGCATGAGTGTTATCATTAAGTATTAAGGCCTTCAAACCTCGATTATCAGATCCGGGTGACTCATCATGCCCACGGAATGATAAACCTTGACGTAAAAGAAATCGAACACAATCAACTGCAGTGGTTAACAATAACCTATAATCTTTTTTGTTTCTCTCATCTTTGCTCAACCATAGAATAGGAAGACTTTGTTCTTTAGTCTTCATCAGATCTTCACATTTGTGTCTGGTCTTATTATGTGCACTATTATGATCTCCAACATGACTTAACAGTTTATCCTTCTTCTTCCAATTTTTGAACCCTTCTCCAATAAATGAGTCTCCCCCCGCCTTGTCTTGTAATAGTTTTATCTTGAGGTTTGAACAAGTAGCAATACAAACAAAAAGCTGCATCTTTTTGCACGCTGTATTCTAACCAATCAGGATATTCCTCAAATCATTTGGGATTAAATCTACGTGCAAGATTGCCAAATACTGTTTGAGGGAATTGATGACTTTTGGGTTGATGGGGTCCCTTCAACAAATATGCTCTCCGAATTTTATCTCTTTCATTGACATCGTAACACCAAATTGAAGGCCGAATTCCAGGATCGGCAGGGAGATTGTTAATATCAGTCTCCAAAGGTTCTTTCCTCTTTAAATAACGTTCCATTTGATATATCCTATTCAAAGAAATCTTTACATAATTTATAAATCCTTATATAATATGATTGATCAACAAAGTAAATAAAACAAAGAAAAAATTTTTACTAAACTGCCAATTTTCACTTCAAAAAACTATCAACTAATAGAGGCTTTCTATTTTTTTTAATCATATTTTTGTTTATAACTGTAGCTTAAGATAACTTTTACCAATTGATAGTTGAAAATCACTATCAGAATCACATGGATGGATGATAACATAAAGCTCAATCTGTGAACTCACTGATAAGAACACTAACTGCCCAGCAAATTGCAAGTCACATGAATAAATCTAAAGTATTGAGACCTCAAAATGAACTTATTCTTTTGGTTCAACTCCAACCAGCTGTGAC